ATAAACTTGCCGCTGAAGAAATCCTCGGTTGTTGCGTCGTCCTTATCGGCAAAGGCCGCGCGCGACAAGATTCATGTTTATTGTATTCAACCCATTACTTTCTCTTACCCCTGTCCCGTTGCTGCTGAACCCGTTCTTTCCCCCTGAAGTCCCTGTGTTAGTATCATGCAAGGACTATTTAATGGAGCAACAGCAACTCACTGTGGCAGCACCCCTGAAGAAAAGACTCCCCTCAACAGCAAGCGCTGACTGCCAATAGCTCTTGGGCAGGGATGGGGACTCATTGAGCCCCTCCAAGTCCATGATGGAGTGTTGATAGACCCTTTCTTTTGCAGGTTTTCAACACATTATTTTAACAAAAGTTGTTAGAACAAATATATTTTACCTACTATGGAAATAATCTTCTATGTAATAAGCTTAAAGCGAATCTGGATTAGAAGGATGCTGACATCTGAAATGTGTCCTTATGCTTAACTCAGGGCTTCTCCACTCTGCCTCAGAGCAGCCTGGCTGCCTCAGACTAGCTTGGCTGGAAGCTAGTTTCAGGCCCACAGCAGATGACTAGGCTAGAGTCTATGGAAATGGAACTGTGGCAGATTTCATGGCCCTCCAGTGCTCTTTGGAGGAAGTAGAAGCTATAGGAAGTGCTATAGAGCCTGAAGACTTGGCTGAAGATGGGAAGGTTTGGAGTACAAGGCCCAAGCCAACTCTAAGTACTTCAGAATAGAGGGTCTTCAAAGAGTAGTGATTCCCAGCAATGCCAGAGCTACTAATGACAGACTCACTGTGCAATGTATTGGTGTTCTGAGTTCTTAGAGCAAAGTACCATGATGTAAGTGGCTTCAACAATGCAAATTATGGTTGGGTCTCCACACCCCAGTGTTCCTAATCTATGGACTCAACTAACTTTGGGTTGGAAAATTATGAGGAAAACTGCATATATACTGAACATACACAATTTTTCATTTTCTTGTCACTGTCAAAAAATATGGGATAGCAGCCATTTGCATTTTCCCAGTTATTAGTGTCTCAGAGATGATTCAGTTCTAATATGTATTGGAACACACACATAGGCTTGATGTGAACACTGTGCCTCTGTATAAAGGAACAGATCATCTGCAGATTTTGGTACCATAGGGATCCTAGAACTAACCTCTGTATGGTTAGTGAGGGTTGATATGGTTAGTGTTAAATGTCCTTCAGGCCAGAGTCTGAAATCAGGTAGCCATGAAGGTTGGTTCCCCGAGGGTTGTGAGGGAAGGTCTAGCCAAGCCTCTCTGCTGGCTTCCGAAGGTCTACAAGCAAACTTTGGACTCCTTAGTCCATAGATTTCTTTGTTCATCTATATGTGATACTGTCTTTATGTGCTTGTTTGTTTCCAGTTATGCCTTTTCTCTAAGGACACTGGTCAGACTGAGTCAAAGCTCTACCTTGTTTCAGTATAACATTAGATAATGTCTTTTGCAATGGTTCTCTTCCCAGATAAGGTCATATTCTTTAGCACTGCAGTTAGGACTTTAATATATGAATTTGAGTGGAGCACATGATTCATCCCATAGAATGCAGATAACACACTGCATATTCAGTACTTATCTGGAACGAGACTCTGAGAGCGAAAACACCAAAGCGCACTTAGCTCTCAGGGCATTCTGTGTAGTATGAAATATTTTATGTGCCTGTCCCTTTAAATTATCCTATGCCTTTCAGTGTTAGTTAGCTCTTGGACTTCTGGGAAGAGGAGAATATATAAAAAACCAGCAGAGGCTGAGAGCTGAGAGGAAAAGGAGGAGGAGAAGGAGGAAGAAGAGGGTTAGGAGGAGGAGGGGGAGACAGAAATAGTATCTAGGAGACAGAAAGTAGGGCCAGAGGAGACAGTTGATGCAAGAAGAAAGCAGACTGAGTAGGGCTAGAGAGAAGAAGAAAAGAGATTGAGCAGAGTGAAAACAAGAGGCAGTTTAAAGTGAACTGAACTAGCAGAGTGAGAAGACACAGTTGGTGACAGCTGAGCCAGAAGAAGCTGAGCTGAGCCAACAAAGTTGTTGTTGGGCAAGATCTAGAGGAAGAACCCACACAGTAACTAAAGAATAAATATAAAGACCAAAAATCAACATTTACTAAAAGCAACAATTCTGCACAGCTGCGAAGGCAGACATGAGGTCACAGAAGAACTATGTGGCCTTCCTGAGCTCACTAAGCAGAAATGGGACAAGGGGGGGAATCGAATTTCCAAGGAAGAGTATAGAACAGGGGACCTACAGGGTAGCCTGAGAGAAGAGAGAAAAGGGGCAGAGTCAATGTGGAAATTCCCTGAAGGTCCCTATATAAGAGCAGGAATGCACACCCTTAGAGGTCTGACAGAGAGCAGCCTTTGCATAGCCGAAAGCTGAAAGGCAACATTATAGACCAGTGTTGGAATGCAAGTGCACCAGCTTCCCCAATGTGTTGCGAGTAGGCAGACACCTTTGACATTCTACTGAGATCCAAGAAGTTCACACAGGAGGATTAGGAGAATCCTCTAAGCCTGAAGACAAACATGGTATCCACCTACACAAACACAGAGAAATAATGGATTCAGGTCTGAGCAAGTGGAACAATCAGTGACCTGTGTGCTTGCCATGATAATAACACACACAGAGAGAGCATGTTTGGACTCCCTATGATGTATTGTCCACAATATGTTGTGAAATATGAAAGATCAGTGGATTTACAAATAAGTAATCAAGAGCAAGGTCAACACACCAGGACTCCTACAGTCTCATATGCAGAAATTAATCCAAAATGTGTCAAGATGTCAGTGAAAAGGTGAAAACTGCAAAGTGTGCTAGTGGGTAGCCTTTTCTTCTGAACCGAGACACTCTCTCAAGAAGAAGCATGAGGCCCTGTATTTGGTCCCTAGCACCCATGTTCAAAAGCTGTACTGCATCAGACAGCTGTGTCCCAGAGCTGTGGGAATGGAGTCAAGAGGATCCGTGGGGGTTGCTAGATGCTAGTCTAGCCAAACTGGTAAGGTCCAGGTTCAGTGGGAGAGCCTGTCTAAAGAGAATGGAAAGCAACCAACCTCTGGCCTCCTTGTACATGTACATACAAATGCATGTATATACATAAACATAAGTATGTTCACACACACATACACAAAGGGGTGGGTGAAAGTACATAATATTTCTTTTTTGACATTCTTTTTATAATTTTAAAAGTTATTTATTATTATTTATTACAATTTATTCACTTTATAGTCTGGCTATAGCCCCCTCCCTCTTCTCCTCCCAGTCCCACCCTTCCTCCCTTCCTTCCCTAGCCTACCAATAGGGGAAGACCTCCTCCCCTTCTGACCCTATCTGACCCTAGCTTATCAGGTCTCATCAGGGCTGGCTGCATTGTCTTCCTCTGTGGCCTGGCAAGGCTGCACCACTCAGGGAGAGGTGATCAAAGAACCAGCCACTGAGTTCATGTCAGAGACAGCCCCTGTGCCCCTTACTAGGGAACCCACTTGGACACTGAGCAGCCTATGGGTTTCATCTGAGCAAGGGGTCTAGGGCTTCTCCATGCAAGATCCTTGGTTGAAGTACTGGTTTCTGCAGGGCCTCCTGGGCCCAGGTTTTTTGGCTCTGTTGGTCTCCTTTGTGGAACTCCTGTCCCTTCCAGGTCTTTCTATCTCTCCTTTCTTCCATAAGGTTCCCAGGACTCTGCCCAAAGTTTGGTTATGAGTCTCAGCATGTTCTTTGATACTCTGATGGGTACCCTGATAGTCTTTCAGAGGCCCTCTGTGGAAGGCTGCTGTCCTGTTTCCTGTCTTCTCCTACTTCCGATGTCTAGCCTGTTTGTCCTTCTTAGTGAGGTTTTAGCCTCTTTCCTAGGGTTCTTTTTGTTGTTTAGCTTCTTTAGGACTATAGATTTTAGTATGTTTATCCTATATTATATGGTTAATATCTCTTATAAGTACGTATATACCATATGTGTTTTTCTGTCTCTGGGATACCTTACTCAGGATGATCTTTTCTAGTTTTATCTATTTGCCTGCAAATTTCATGATGTTCTTGTTTTTAATTGCTGAGTAGTATTCCATTGTTTAAAAGTACCACAATTTCTGATCCATTCTTCAGTTGAGGGACATCTGGGTTGTTTCCAGATTCTGGCTATTATGAACAAATCTGCTATGAACATGGTTGGCAGATGTCCTTGCTGTATGGGACCTCACGGGACCCTTACAGTGTCTCCTAAGCTTACACTCTGTTTCTTTCATCTACAATCTTTAGCACAGATCCAAGCCCGTTACTATATGGGTAGGGGAGTGAACATTACATAGCAGCCACATTCCACCTATTATATACTCTCTGTCTGCCTATCACCTGTCTATACATCCATCCACCCATCAATCAATCTATCTATCTATATCT